CTAGGCCCAAATTGGGGCTGTAGCGCCACAGAAAAAAAAATACATGGTGTCACATTCCACAAGACCAATACTGACATGTGTTAGTGACGAGATCAAGGGTTTGGATAGATTACTGAATTTATTGAATGCCATTGCCTCACAATGTACATCTCCTCTGGCTGCATTATTCCAGCTTTCAGGCATCATGTCGCAATATTAACCTTTATCGTCTGCATGTTGCACAACTGCACTAGTGCATGTGCTGATTTGGCAGGGACCGGCAGGGCTAGTCTCATAATTTCTACCATGTAAATCCCACTATTAACACGTTAAAGTCTGGTCATCAGTGCTGTATTAGCAGGAGATTTAAATCTGGCCAATAAAGTTAAACAGAGTTGATCCTCAAAATACAAATGCTCAACAACTTACTAGCATCTGTACATAAAAACAGCACAAGAACTTGTTCCTATGAACATGAATTAAAATCTTTCATCAAAGAGCAGTGAATGTACTATAAATATACAAACAATGAAATGAGGCTCACCAGCCAGCATGACAGAGGAAGCATTTCAAGAGTACTGAATACAGTGAGTCACTCAGTCAGTGGCAATGGCAGCACTGATAGAACCACAAATCTCATTCGATGAATGGCAACAGTTTGTGAAAGAAACAAGCAGCATTTCAATATGTACAACAACACAAAATACAAGAAAGCACATCTCACACAACTCTGGCTATGAAGGTACCTTGACAACAATGACCCTGTCCTCAGCTGAACCATTGCTCAGAGGTGTTGACGAACGGTCCCGTTCAGAAGAGTCGTGCTGTGAACTGGTGCGGCAGATGGTCGAAGGAGGAGTGGCAGAGGAAGGTAAGGGAGGGGTTGCAGCACTGCCACCGTGATGTAGTGGAGAGCCATCGACAGAATCTGTGTCAGATCGGTCCGAGAGACTCGTTGCAATGGACAATCGCTTCTTCTGCAGTAGTATATGTGCAAGCAAAGGAAAAGCAAAGCCAGAAAGCATGAGTACAGCAGAAATATAATAAACATCTGAAGAACTACTGTATTATATCCTATGAAAAGATGGACAGAATTAAAGATAGTATTAACATTACATTTACATTAAGTCTGATCATGTCAGAAAAGAAAAAAACATGTTTGAACTAGATATTAACTGGAATATTTCAGTTGCAATAAATCTATCAAAGTATGCTTTGAATCACCATGCATGTAATGAAGGTAACCCCCAAATTAAGCAATAGCTATGCTTGGATGAATGGTTGCATAAATCAGAATTTAATTTCTGCTCTTCCTTTGGTTTCAGTCTCCATTAACCATAATTCAATCAATAGTAAATATCAAATGACGAAGGCCAGAAAGCTAGCAGTACGAAGCATAATATGCAATCATCAGAATCCTCCAGAATTGCTCTATACAGCAATCTGTAGCCCATTTTAATATCAAATATAGAAATTCTGTCATCTGCGTGCATTAAGATACTAAACTTATTAAACACCAATTGAAGAAAACCCTTGAAGTGTCACCTACAGCATCCATATTCTGGTCTTACTGATAACTAATTGCTACCACATATACGTAACATAAATAACAATGGAGAAGTAAGTCTTACCCTCTTATACCTAAGGATTTCAAACAACACTACATCGCTCTCCACAAACTAGTTCACAGCACTGTCTGCACCCATAAAATAAACTCACCAAATTCGTTTCTTCCTCAGCCAACCACCGGCCATCTTCCTCAGATTCCCGCTGTTGCTGTCGCAGTCTCTGCTCCAGTAACTGCTGCTCCATCTCCAGGTCCAGCTGGCTGCCATCCCCTCCACCGCTGCCATCTTCCAGCAAATCATCTCCATACACACTTAGTGCAGGAGTCACCACCTGGTTCTACAAACATTATCTCTAATTATCTTCTGGGGCACAACTTACATTCTACACATAACAGCAATATGATTTTGCCAGAGGCAGCTCATGAGGAACGGCAGTGCACGTCATAAAATTAATTATCATTATAAAATTACAGTAAATTACATCAAGCAAGCAACAAAAATGCTCTCTACTGATTGCATGTGCAGAAACATAAATACGATAGAAAAGTGTACTCTAATTTGGAGTACACAAGTACACACATTCCCCATCATATAATTTTAAAGTTAATTTCTTGCAGACATAAATCTGATGCTGACAAAGTTGAACAACTGCACAGATACCAAGCAGGTTGGTCTAGCAGTAATGTTCTTAGACTTGCGTGTGTAGGATTGCTGGAACATCGGCTATCCTCTCTGAGGTCTTTCATACTTTTCCTTAATCCCTTCAGCAAAGGCTAGGATAGTACCCCAATTAGGTCACGACCACTTCCAAATCCTTTGCAATTCACAGATC